GGTGTGGGAGGCTGGTAAGGAAATGTGGGGGCGGGGGAAGCACTAGCGGGTGATTTGCTCCAATCTGCAGTCACTGAGTTCATGCGTTTGCACGATCGTGGCCCTCTTGGTAAATATACACTGAACACATCTTTACACCACAACTTAATATAGAATTGGGGGGTATATGGCCCACGGTTGCTACCAGAGTGTGATTCACCATCTCACCAAGAAGAGATCAACAATAAGCAAATATCTGCATAGAAAGGGCAGGGCACCTGGTAGGGGCCTCTCAAAGTCACTTCCCATCTTCCCCGTGGACTGTTGGGGAGGAAAATGATGTGCCCAAGAGTGCTGTCCCCGGGCAGCGAGGAACATCTGACCACGGAAAGGGAAAGATCGCTGTGGACCTGAGTGGCCAGCAGGACTGGCATAGTGGAAGATGGCCAGGGGTGAGATGGGCCACGGTGAGAGAATTTGCTGGGGTGGGGAGGGGAGGGGTCTCTTCGGGGACTCCCATGCCAGTCCAGTGCTTTGGCTTAGCCTGGGTTTCAGATAGGAAGTCAATTCCGAAAGCCATGGATATGTGTGTGTGTGTGTGTGTGTGTGTGTGTGTGTGTGTGTGTGTGTGTTTTTTTTTTATAGGGACTTATTATATATTTTTAAATAGTTTTTATTGATTTCAAAGAGGAAAGGAGAGGGAGAGAGAAATAGAAACATCAATGATGAGAGAGAATCATTGATCAGCTGCCTCCTGCACACCCCCTACTGGGGATTGAGCCGGCAACCCGGGCATGTGCCCTTGACAGGAATTGAACTCGGGACCTTTCAGTCCACAGGCTGACACTCTATCCACTGAGTCAAACTGGCCAGGGCTATTATATATTTTTAAAACCTGAATTTGAATGTCTGGGGTGGGGAAAAAATTGCTCTTCAATTTTCAGTTTAGCTCCAAGCCCTCCTAGGGATCACCCAATTTATACATTTATATCACCTGCCCAGGCCCTGTAGGAATTTGAGTTTGTGGCCCCAGCCCTATAGGTCATGGGGACATGGATCATTTTCAGAATAATGAAATAATGTTTCAGAACTAACACTTGTATGTAGGATTGTCAGATAAAGTACAGATAAACAAAAAAATTTAAATATACTATATCCCATACAATACAAACTATTCATTATTTTTTAAATTTCAAACTTAGTGGAACATCCTGTTTTGTTTTTTAACCCAACGCTACTCATGTTGCTTATATCAAATTAATGGGAGGCAAGAGAGGAGGAGGTCGAACGTGGAGGTTGTGCAATAGCCAGAAAGAGATGGAGACTATGCCCCCGTGGCAGGGCTGATGGCTGGGCTGCAGGTGAGACACGGTCTGAAGAAAGAATGAGCAGAACATGCAGCCTGTGTGGAGATGTGACCAAAAGCAGAGAAGTAGCCCAGGAGTGACAGAAACGCTATAGCTCGGCCACTTAATCACGTAAGATACTCCCAGCCTCAGCTTCCCCATTACCAACTCACAGTGTGTCATGAGGAGTAAAGAGAGCATGGAGATGCCCTACAAGTGCTACGCAAACATGAGTTGTGACATAAGGGCCCCAGCCCTGTTCTTTTCCATATACACCACCGCGGAAGCCAGGCCTCTGCCATGAGGACTTTGCCCAATTACTTGTTCCATTCCCCCAAACCGCTTGGCTTTGTACAGTTGCCCACCCTTCCACATGGGCGCTTTTAAGTTCTCAGTGCCCTGTCCTTGGCAATCTCGATGGCCTTTCCTCTGCTGTTTAAATGAGCCATGGCTAAACATGTCCGTTAGGGCAGAGCTGGGGACAGAGCCCCACAAGCCAGAAGCTTTGACCCTCCATGACCACACACCCTCCAGGGCCCATCTAATGTACCTGGACCTACACCTGATTTCTCTGCTCAACCATCAGGTGGAGGCCTGCTCTGCAAGTGACATGAGGCAAAGGGCCCTGGGCCC